TGTCAACTCACCTATTCTTTTGGGTAAAATGACTCCATAGACTTCTCTTGGTCACATGTCAAGAACATTTCTGGGCCGATTTCCTGCAATCATATTAAACGGTACTTTTAGCGCTCATCTACTATTAATTACATATAATTAATAAGCATCAAGTACGAAGGGGCAGCTGCAAATTATCTGCAACGCACATTGATTGATTGGGGGATTACGCAAATAGTACCACTCGGTTTGCACCTCAACCAGAAAGTAATAAAGTTTTCTGTTCCACTAGAATAATATAGGGTAAAATATATGATATGTGATAAAACACGACTGGCAGTTCACCCATTTGCCTAATAAGTGACCTACAAACAGTATTTAACATACTGCATGGATTGGAGGAGTGTACCCATTCACACCTTTTTAACAAAGCTGACAGTGAGCCAAGTTATTTACATCACGGGCATCATTTACTCGGCCTCAAAAAATAACTTACAACTTAATTGTGCGTGGAAATAACATTGAGCCACAGGAGAACACTAACCTCCTACAACAATAACCGGAATGGAACAATTCAATATTCCAGACCGGAAACAAGTAAGCACTATACCTTGCGATTAATAACGAAAAGCGGCGATGTCCACTCTAAAATTCTGGTTAAAATCCTATGACCAATAATTATATGATATGAGTAGGTATTATCGGTATTTGGCAGAAACGCCGATCGTGACACCAAGGTGACACCGATTTTCCACTGTTTGTTTACGTTTCCATAAAGGCGCGGGAAATGCGCGGTGGGGATGGGGAGGAGGAGAGGGGTAGGGGACGCGGCACGGCAAAGGGGGAGAGCAATAATTACGGCTCGAATTACGGCATACTCACCGACATATCGTGGTCGCGGGATGTGATTCTTTCCTGGGGTAGGCAATCCCGCCTCGCTTGTGATCCTTTGGGGATGCTTCCCGTCCCGTGCATCGTTGTGTGGCTCCAGGCGGCAACGCCAGGGGGAAGTGCCATGGTGACAATAGTGAAATGATCAGGATAATAAACTATGATGGGCGATTTGCTATTAATAATAATTATTATATTTGGCGACTTTTAAGAAATATGCACCAGCCCGTGTGTAACGACGTTTGGAGCCGAATTGTATTTGTCGTGGGAGGGTCATCGGCGTGCTCGGGAAGGTCCCCAATGACGTCCCCGGGGGCCCGGACGACATCGGCACTACCAGATTTGGACTCAGCGTGCGAGAAAACCCCCGAACACGATATTTCAGTCGTCCTGGTCGTTCCGAGGTTGACGGTCGGTCGGTCGGTCGGTCGGTCGGCCAAATCGTATCTTATTTTGACAGCCCCCAGTGAGTTGGATGGAAGCCGGTAGTATTCGAACTGGGCGACCAAGAAAAAAAAAAAAGCGCCGGCGGCAAGGCTTGAACCCCCGACCCGGGAGTCCCGGAGCCGACACCTTTACGAACTCGACTAAGAGACCGCACTCGTCGTACACCGACTAGAACGCA